AAAGTGTTGGAAGATTCTGATTTGAAGAAGTCTGATATTGATGAAATTGTTCTTGTTGGTGGCTCTACTCGAATTCCAAAGATTCAGCAACTGGTTAAAGAGTTCTTCAATGGCAAGGAACCATCCCGTGGCATAAACCCAGATGAGGCTGTAGCATATGGTGCTGCTGTCCAGGCTGGTGTGCTCTCTGGTGATCAAGATACAGGTAGGTCATCATCACAACATCTTTTTTGTGTGTGTGTGTGTGTGTGACGGAGTTTCGCTCTTGTTACCCAGGCTGGAGTGCAATGGCGCGATCTCAGCTCACCGCAACCTCTGCCTCCTGGGTTCAGGCAATACTCCTGCCCCAGCCTCCTGAGTCGCTGGGATTACGGCACGCACCACCATGCCCAGCTAATTTTTTGTATTTTTAGTAGAGACGGGGTTTCACCATGTTGACCAGGATGGTCTCGATCCCTTAACCTTGTGATCCACCCACCTCGGCCTCCCACAGTGCTGGGATTACAGGCTTGAGCCATTGCGCCCGGCCTCACAACATCTTTCATAGTATTTCAGTAGCTTGATGGAAGATTAGTTAGCCATTGCTTTAGAAAATACCAGAATATGAGCAACAAGGTCACACAGCTAGTAAAGGGTATAGTGAAGACAAGACTGAGGCACTCTCAAGATCATTAGCAACTGTTTAATTCACTGCCTTTAAAATGTGTGTGTTAGAACCTAACCAAATGGTAAGACAGAGAGAAACTTTATATAGCTCATGGGGAGAACTTGAATTAGAAGTAAATAATTTATCCTTACAGGTGACCTGGTACTGCTTGATGTATGTCCCCTTACACTTGGTATTGAAACTGTGGGAGGTGTCATGACCAAATTGATTCCAAGGAACACAGTGGTGCCCACCAAGAAGTCTCAGATCTTTTCTACAGCTTCTGATAATCAACCAACTGTGACAATCAAGGTCTATGAAGGTAATTACTTAAATTTGCTCATATCATGGCTTTTTTCTTCTTTTTTGTGACAGAGTCATGCTGTTGCCCTTGCTGGAGTGCAATGGCGCAGTCTTAGCTCACTGCAACCTCCGCCTCCCAGGTTTAAGCAATTCTCCTGCCTCATCCTCCGAACTAGCTGGGATTACAGGCGTGTACCACATGCCCGGCTAATTTCTGTATTTTTAGCAGAGATGGGGTTTCACCATGTTGGTCAGGCTGGTCTCAAACTCCTGACCTCAGGTGAAATGCCTGCCTCAGCCTCCCAAAATGCTGGGATTACAGGCATGAGCCACCATGCCCAGTCTATCATGGCTTGCTTGCTTATTTATTTATTTATTGAGATGGAGTCTCGCTCTGTAGCCCAGGCTGGAGTGCAACGGCGTGATTTCATGCCCAGTCTGTCGTGGCTGGCTTATTTATTTATTTATTTATTTATTTATTTATTTATTGAGATGGAGTCTCGCTCTGCAGCCCAGGCTGGAGTGCAACGGCGTGATTTCGGCTCACTGCAATCTCCACCTCCCAGTTTCAAAGGATTCTCCTGCCTCAGCTTCCAAATTCTACCTCAGCTTCCCAAGTAGCTGGGATTACAGGCACAAGCCACCATGCCCAGCTAATTTTTGCATTTTTTTTTTTTTTTTTAGTAGAGGTGGGGTTTCAACATGTTGACCAGTTTGGTCTTGAACTCCTGACCTCGTGATACACCCGCCTTGGCTTCCCAAAGTGTTGTCATTACAGGCGTGAGCCACCGTGACTGGCCTATTGTGGCATATTTTGAAAGAACATGACTTAATATGTTTTATTGAAGTGGCTAGGGACCTAAGTAACTGCTGTTTTCAGATGGGGGTCTTAATTTGAATTATGTTGTTTTATATCTAGATATTTAGCTTGCCTTTTTTTTTTTTTTTTTTTTTTGAGATGGAGTCTTGTTCTGTCACCCAGGCTGGGGTGCTGTGGCGTGACCTATAATCTCTGCCTCCCAAGCAGTTCCCCTGCCTTAGCCCCCCTCCCAAGTAACTGGGATTACAGGTGCCCACCACCACACCCGGCTAACTTTTGTATTTTTAGTAGAGGTGGGATTTTGCCATGTTGGCCAGGCTGGTCTTGAATTCCTGACCTCAGGTGATGCACCCACCTCAGCCTTCCAAAGTGCTGGGTTTATTAACAGGTGTGAGCCACTGTGCCCGGCCAGTATTTAGCATTCTTATTAATAATAACTTCTGAGCTGCTCCTAGAGTACAAGAAAAAGGAGTTCACAGCACTTTGAAATAGATAAAATTCAGTTGAGTTAGCAGGTAGTAACCTAACTCATTGTTAGTACCTGTTGCTGCTCCTTGTAGACCAATATGAAATTGTTTTCAAACCAAAAGTGTCACTTTTGGCCTTTCACTTTATGCTTCAGACTGAAATGTGGGGATGTAGATGTGCTAATACTTGTCAATAACAACAAGTTTTTCTGTATGTAACTTCTAGGTGAAAGACCCCTGACAAAAGACAATCATCTTCTGGGTACATTTGATCTGACTGGAATTCCTCCTGCTCCTCGTGGGGTCCCACAGATTGAAGTCACCTTTGAGATAGATGTGAATGGTATTCTTCGAGTGACAGCTGAAGACAAGGGTACAGGGAACAAAAATAAGATCACAATTACCAATGACCAGAATCGCCTGACACCTGAAGAAATTGAAAGGATGGTTAATGATGCTGAGAAGTTTGCTGAGGAAGATAAGAAGCTCAAGGAGCGTATTGATACTCGAAATGAGTTGGAAAGTTATGCCTATTCTCTAAAGAATCAGATTGGAGATAAAGAAAAGCTGGGAGGTAAACTATCCTCTGAAGATAAGGAGACCATGGAAAAAGCTGTAGAAGAAAAGATCGAATGGCTGGAAAGCCACCAAGATGCTGACATTGAAGACTTCAAAGCTAAGAAGAAGGAACTGGAAGAAATTGTTCAGCCAATTATCAGCAAACTCTATGGCAGTGCAGGCCCTCCGCCAACTGGTGAAGATGATACAGCAGAAAAGGATGAGTTGTAGACACTGATCTGCTAGTGCTGTAATATTGTAAATACTGGACTCAGGAACTTTCGCTAGGAAAACATTGAGAGAACTTAAGTCTCGAATGTAATTGGAATCTTCACCTCAGAGTGGAGTTGAAAATGCTATAGCCCAAGTGGCTGTTTACTGCTTTTCATTAGCAGTTGCTCACCTGTCTGGGTGGGGGGGGAGAAGAATTGGCCATCTTAAAAAGTGGGTAAAAAAACGTGGGTTAGGGTGTGTGTTCACCTTCAAAATGTTCTATTTAACAATTGGGTCATGTGCATCTGGTGTAGGAAGTTTTTTCTACCGTAAGTGACACCAATAAATGTTTGTTATTTACACTGGTCTAATGTTTGTGAAAAGCTTCTAATTAGATCAATTATTTAGGAATATAAGGCCAGATTGTTGTGTGTGGGGTGAGGGGAGGGAGTGTTTGGTATGCTGGGATATGGAAACACTTCTATTTAATGCTTCCGGGGAATTTGCTCCCCCTCTTCCCCAAGTGATCCTTCCACCTCAGTCTCCCACCTAATCACCACCATGCTCAGCTTTTGCCTTAATCTAAGGGGAGAGAAGTTAATCCATACCTCTACCTAGGTGAGGGGCATTTCAGTGCCCAAGAGTGGGGTTTTCTTGAACATACTTGGTTTCCTATTTCCCTTATCTTTCTAGAACTGCCCTTCTGGTGTTTTTAAATTATGCTTCATAGGTGCTTGGATTCTCTGAGAATTGGCGGAATGAGTGATCACTGGTATTAACTTTTTTTTTTTTTTGAGACGGAGTCTCGCTCTGACACCAGGTTGGAGTATAATGACATGATTCTGACTCACTGCAACCTCTACCTCCTGGGTTCAAGTGATTCCCCTGCCTCAGCCTCCTGAGTAGGTGGGACTACAGGTGCCTGCCACTATGCCTGGCTAATTTTTTGTATTTTAGTAGAGACAGGGTTTCACCATGTTGTCCAGGATGATCTTGATCTCCTGATTTCGTGATCTGCCCTCCTTGGCCTCCCAAAGTGCTGAGATTACAGGCATGAGCCACTGTGCCCAGCCACTGGTATTAACTACATAGTCGGATTGAATTTGTAACTTTAAGATGTAAAGGTATATTGTGAACCCTAGCTGCGTCAGAATCTCCATGCCTGAAATTTCTCATTAGTGGTACTGGGGTGGGATCTAGGATGGTGACACCGAAACTACACTAAACCCCCTCACTATGGGTGGGTTAAAGGCAGTGGTTTGTGTCAAAATCGGTTTCGGATTACTTAGATTGCCTTCTTGAAGAAAAGAATAGTATGATCAGTAAAGGGCAGGCTGGTGCTAACATGAAATCCAGTATTGTGGCCAGGTCTGGTGGCTCACACCTGTAATCCCAGCAGCGCAATGGTGCAATCTTGGCACACTGCAACCTCCACCTCCCAGGTTCAAGCAATTCTCCTGCCTCATCCTCCCGAGTAGTTGGGACTACAGGTGTGTGCCACCATGCCTGGCTAACTTTTTGTATTTTTAGTAGAGACAGACAGGTTTCACCGTGTTATCCAGGATGGTCTTAATCTCCTGACCTCACGATCTGCCCACCTCAGCCTCCTAAAGTGCTGGGATTACAGGTGTGAGCCACCATGCCCAGCCAGTTCTGCAACTTTTGTTTAACCTTCTGCAACCTATTGCAACCTTCTTGTGAGTAGCATTCAGTACAGTAATCCCACCTCCTAGGTTTGTATTGCTGGTAAAGACTTTTTATATTAATATAGTGGAGGTTTTTGCATTGAGCAACAAAACTTTACTGCAGTTTGCAAACCAGTCACTGAAAGTCATTCCCAAGAGCTCTGAGAGGCAATATAGCAAGGGGTAGTGCACATGAATTACTTGTATTAATTTCTTCACCTACCAAAGTAGGAGAAAAACATATAGTGCAGAAGACATTTTGGAGGCATGAAACAGCTAAGGTTTTACTTAACTATTCTAAAAGTAACTGACAGGTAATGAAAACGTGGGTTTTATTAGTCAACTGCAGTCACAATACAATCATCATAGATTTCCCCTTCTGTATTCATCCCACCAAACACAAAACAGAGCAGTGTATCATCCTGGCTTTCCTCATGTGAGTCACCACTGTGGGTCATTACTGTGTCAGCTGAATCCCCTTTCTCAGTGTCATGGTTCAGACTGAGAGAATTGGAATCTTCTTTCTCAGATGCACATGTCACTGGCCATGGAATGATACACATGGAGTGGTCCAATCGTCCAGCGGGTAGAAAAGTATCAAACTTAAGCAGGGTCCAATGCTGCTTTTCTATGTTGGGGAGGCAAAAGGCTTCGTGTTAAGAAATTTCCAGATAGTGAAAGCCAAAATCTGAATACAATTTTAAAAGTAAAGAAATTTCTAGAAATGCTCAGTCATTTTATTTATTTATTTTTTTTTTGAGAGGAGTTTTGCTCTTGTTGCCCAGGCTGGAGTGCAATGGCACGATCTCAGCTCACCGCCACCTCCACCTCCCAGGTTCAAGCGATTCTTCTGCCTCAGCCTCCCAAGTAGCTGGGATTACAGGCACGTGCCACCACGCCCAGCTAGTTTTGTATTTTTTTTTTGGTAGAGACGGGGTTTCACCATATTGGCCAGGCTGGTCTCGAACTCCTGACCTCATGATCCACCCACCTCGGCCTCCCAAAGTGCTAGGATTACAGACATGAGCCACTGTGCCCGGCCTAATGCTCAGTGATTTACTGTATCAGCTGAGCCCTAACAGAAAATAAAAGGAAAAAAACCTCATGGCAGCATTGCTGCTTTAATGACCTCATCCCGACAGAGCTCTCATTTTTTTGGATTTAGACACAGAGGAACCAAATTGGAAAACCAAAGCACTGCATCACTTTTCAAAGGATATTTAGATTTGTTTAAAGATCCCCAGGGACACCTGCTCACCTGTGTGATACTGGTACATTGTGTCCAGTGCTCCTGCAGGAGTCATTCCACCAAAGATGTACAAGTGTTTTCCCACAGCCACAGCTGAGTGGGCAGCACAGCCTGCTGGAGCCGCGCCAGTGGGACTTAGCTTCTGCCATTTCATGTCATCTGCCAAGAAAAAGAAAGGGCTTTGGCACAACATGGGCTAAGATGTGCTTTCAAACTAACCTATCGACTGCAGTTTGCAAACCAGTCACTGAAAGTCATTCACCAAGAGCATTGAGAGGTTTAGTGCACATAAGAATTACCTGCAGAATTCTGACATCATGATTGGGTAGTCCAGGAAGGAAAGGAGGGAGGAGCTCAGTGATTCCCAGAATCCCAGGCGATTCTGATGTAGGCGGTCTTTGGATCACATAGAAATGTGATACAATCTTTATAATAACAGTCACCTTCAACCATTCACTCGAATGCTTCGAATTACGTCAGTTTTTCTCTCTCTCTCTCTCTCCCTCTCTTCTCTCCCCGCCCCCTCGCTGTGTGTGTGTGTGTGTGTGTGTGTGTGTGTGTGTGTGTGTGTGTGTGTCTGTTTTAAATACAGTTCCTTAGCAACTTTGTAAGTGCAGGCTAAACAAATTTTGCTCGCTTAATTCTCATAAGAGCCCCACAAAATTGCTATTATTTCTGCCTATCCCCTTGCTTCTTACAAATGAGCAAACAAGAATTTGTTTGTAATTGGTAGAGCTAGGCTGCACTCAGGTTTAGCTCCAAAGCTTGTGTTTTCTACACTGTCACGTGCTGCCTCAGCATCTCCTTCCAACCTATTTTTGTAGGAAAATTTCTCTATCTTTTCAAAGAAGCATTTTTTTTCTTTTGAGACAGAGTCTCACTTTGTCACCCAGGCTGGAGTGCAGTGATGAGATCTCTGTTCACTGCAACCTCTGCCTCCAGGATTCAAGTTATTCTCCTGCCTCAGCTTTCCAAGTGGCTTGGATTACAGGTGTGTGCCACCATGCACGGCTAATTTTTGTATTTTTAATAGAGACGGGGTTTCACCATGTTGGCCAGGCTGGTCTCCAACTCCTGACCTCAAGTGATCCACCCGCCTCGGCCTCCTAAAGTGCTGGGATTACAGGCATGAACCACCATGCCCAGCTGAATTTTTAGGGGGGGGGGGACAGAGGCTTACAGGCATGAGCCACTGCACCCAGCCCAAATAAGCATTTAAATAAGGCAAGCTATCACTGGATTTTACATGTAGAGAACTACTTGGGTAGACAGGAAAAATAGTCAACAAGTAGCTCCTAACAACAGAAACAGACTTTCTTTTTAAAAATAAGCATGAAGGCCAGGCACGGTGGCTCACACCTGTAATCCTAGCACTTTGGGAGGCCGAGGTGGGTGGATCACCGGAGGTCAGGAGTTCATGACCAGCTTGGCCATCATGGTGAAACCCCATCTTTTAAAAATAAATAAATAAATAAAAATTTAAAAATTTAAAAAATAAAAATAAGCATGAAAGCCCCATCTGATTGCCTGCAAGGAATGGTTTTGTGTAGACAGTTTCCTTCTGTCAATGCAAGGCAGAGGCCCTGCATCTCAGGGTAGGAAGGGAGAATAAAGGGGTATGGCCAAAATTCTAGCCAATGCAGGAATCACAAAGCCAGTGTCCCCTGGCCTCAGATGTCATGGAGCTTGGCAAGGTAGCCCGATACACTATGCAGGACTTCCCATGTTCCCTTCTCCCCATTGTTCCAGTTCTTGTAGTCTGGAGCAATGCAGAACATGTTTGTTCATTCATCCATCCACTCAATAATAGATGTGGGCTGGGCACAGTGGCTCATGCCTGGAATCCCAGCACTTTGGGAGGCCAAGGTGGGCAGATCCCTTGAGTCCAGGAGTTGGGAGACCAGCCTGGGCAACATGGTGAAATCCTATCTCTACAGAAAACATAAAAATTATCTGGGTGTGGTGGCACGTGTCTGTTATCCCAGCTACTCAGGAGGCTGAGGCAGAAGAATCACTTGACTTGAGAGGAAGAGGTTGCCGTGAGCTAAGATCACATCACTGCATTCCAGCCTGGGCGACCAAGTGAGACACCATCTCAAAAAAAAGTACTTGTCACCCACTATCTGCCAGACACTGTGCTAAGTGCTAGAAATGTACTGGAGAAAAAAATAGACAAGTTCCCTGCCATCATGGACCTCACAGCTTGACGGAATGGCCCAGAATGAGTCTAGGATCTCCATGGCGTATCAGCCCTTCAGATACTTAAAGATATTTCTCATGTTCGCTTTAACCTTTCTCTTCTGTTTTCAACCATTTAGCATGACAAGCATAAAATTCTGGTCATCTACCTCCACGTTATCCAGGCCCTTCGTGGGTTAATGGCTAACACGTGAAAGAAATCCAATAGGCCAACACAAAGCACAGTGGGTTGTAATGAAAGGGCAGTGCTGTTGGAAGGACGAGAGACAGTAAATGGCTGGGTCCATAATGAGCACTCAGATTATTTAGTGCTATGGTTTCTTATTATTAATATTCTGTCCAGAGGTGACAGAATCTGATGAAGATTCTGCCAGCTGGGCAAGTTACTTACCCATAAGAGCAAGACTATATTTTCTTTTTCTTTTCTTTTCTTGTTTTTTTTTTTTTTTGAGACAGAGTCTCTCGCCCCAGGCTGGAGTGCAGGAGTGTGATCTCGACTCATGGCAACCTCTGCCTCCCAGGTTCAAGTGATTCTCCTGCCTCAGCCTCCCAAGTAGCTAGGACTACAGGTATCCGCCAAGCCTGGCTAATTTTTATATTTTTAGTAGAGATGGGATCTCACCATGTTGGGCAGGCTGGTCTCAAACTCCTGACCGTAGATGATCTGCCCACCTCGGCCTCCCGAAGTTCTGGGATTACAGGTGTGAGGCACCGTGCCCAGTTTTTTTTTTCTTTTTTTTTTTTTTTGAGATGGAGTCTGGAGTGCAGTGGCATGGTCTCGGCTTACCACAACCTCCGCCTCCTGGGTTCAAGTGAGTCTCCTGCCTCAGGTGCCCGAGTCGCTCAGATTAGGGGCACGTGTGCTATGACACCAGGCTAATTTTTATATTTTTAGTAGACATGAGTTTTTTATCATGTTGGCCAGGCTGGTCTCAAACTCCTAACCTCAGGTGATCTACCTGCCTTGGCCTCCCAAAGTGCAGGCATGAGCCATTGCACCTGGCCGAGCAAGGCTATATTATTTCAAAGTACATTTTTAAAAATCACTTGAGCACAGAAGTTTGAGACCAGCCTGGGCAACATGGCGAGACCTCCTCTCTACCAAAATAAAATTTTATATTAGCCGAGCCTGGTGGCACGAACCCGTAGCTCCAGCTATGGGGGAGGATGAGGTAGGAGGATCACTTGAGCCCAGGAGGCCTAGGCTACTGAGATCATGCCACTGCATTCCAGCCTGAATGACAGAGAGAGATCCTGTCTAAAAAAAAATTAACAATTTTAAAAGACAAGCCCCCGTGCCCTGCTTACTTATATCAATGCAGTGGAGATCATCATAGAATTTGTCCCCTGCCAAGCCTCCATGGATGAAGAGCTTTGTCCCTGCTGCCACCATCACATGGCCATGCCGGGGGGATGGAGGATTTCCGAGTGTCTCTGGCTGTGACCAGGTCAGAGTGCCTAGAAAAGTAAATTCAATAACATCAAAAGGCAAAGCTATTAAACAAGAACACAAGAAATAGACTCTGCATCATCTCCCAGCAAGTAGAGATGTCCCATGCAGGAAGCAACCTTGGGGTCATTTACTCCAACTCCCCAACCCAATCCAAGCATCCCTCCTTTTATATCCTATAGTCTGGGTGTGGTGGCTCACACTTGTAATTCCAGCACTTTGGGAGGCAGAGGCAAGTGGATTAACTGAGGTCAGGAGTTCAAGACCAGCCTGGCCAACATGGCAAAACTCCATCTCTACTAAAAATACACAGAGAAAAATTAGCTGGGCATGGTGGCAGGTGCTTAGTAACTCCAGCTACTTGGGAGGCTGAGGCAAGAGAATCACTTGAACCTGGGAGGTGGAGCTTGCAGTAAGCCAAGATTGTGACACTGCACTCTCCAGCCTTGGCAACAGAGTGAGACTCTGTCTCAAAAAAAAAAAAAAATAATAATAATAATAATCAGCCTGGCATGGTGGCATGCATCTAAAGCATGGAAAGGAATGGCTAAAGGGGAATATTTTAGTTTTGTTTGTTTTTTATCTTTCTTGTTCTTTCTTTTACTTTTTTACTTTATAAACTGTAAGGTTTAAACTTTTTAATTTGATCATTATACCATTTTGTTTTATTTATTCATTTATTTTTGAGACAGAGTCTTGCTCTGTTGCCTAGGCTGGAGTGCAATGGTGCCATCTCAGTTCACTGCAACCTCTGCCTCCCGGGTTCAAGCAATTCTCCTGCCTCAACCTCCCGAGTAGCTGGGATTACAGGCACCCACCACCGCACCTGGCTAATTTTTGTATTTTTGGTAGAGACGTGGTTTCGCCATTTTGGCCAGCCTGGTTTCGAACTCCTGACCTCAGGTGATCCGCCCACCTTGGCCTCCCAAAGTGCTGGGATTATAGGCGTGGCCTACCTTTTTAAAAAATTTATTTATTTATTTATTGAGAGGGAGTCTCACTCTGTCACCCAGGCTGAGTGCAGTGGCCCGATCAGCTCACCGAAACCTCCTCTTCCCAGGTTCAAGCAATTCTCCTGCCTCAGCCTCCTGGGCAACTAAGATTACAGGCATGTGCCACCATTCCCGGCTAATTTTTGTAGTTTTAATAGAGACAAAGTATGTTGGCCAGGCTGTTCTCGTACTCCTAATCTCAAGTGATAGATCTGCCTCAGCCTCCCAAAGTGCTGGGATTACAGGTGTGAGCCACCACGACAGGCCTCATTATACCTTTTTAAATGCTAATTTTGCTGTGGGAAAAAGATATCAGCTAAGAGATGAAACAAAGAAGTGTAGAAGTGAGACACTCAGCCAGCCTTTCCTTTTCTAACCTATGCTTTCTACATTAGGTAATTTGCAGGCTGGGATGGCCCTGACCAGTAAGTGGCAGCCCCAAGGTGCCCACCAGTCCATACTTGCGTCAAACACATGCAGCTTCACGTCCTGCACAGGCTGGGCACCTCTCTCTCCGCCCCCAAAGACATACAGCTGGTTTCCAATGGCTGCTGATGATGTGTGGAATGTTCTTGGGGACGGTGGGGGGCTGGTCACTTCTGGCATGGTCCATGTCCTGGTTTCTGGGCCAGAGAGAATGCAGGTACCTAAAACACCCAGGCTGAGGGGCTTCTGACCTTGACTCTGGGGCTGAGCAGAGTCAGTTTCCAGATCTCATACTCACAAACATCAAAGAAGAATAAAGATGATACTTAGGATTTGCCAAGACAGTCTAAAATCCCCAAGCTCTAAAAGCTATAAGTATGAGCCATAAGAATGAGGTCAGGCTGGGTGCAGTGGCTCATGCCTATAATCCCAACACTTTGGGAGGCCAAGGCGGGCGGATCACTTGAGGTCAGGAGTTCGAGAACAGCCTGGCCAACATGGGGTGAAACCCCACCTCTACTAAAAATATAAAAAATTAGGCCAGGCATAGTGGTTCATGCTTGTAATCCCAGCACTTCGAAAGGCCAAGCCAGATAGACCATGAGATCAAGAGATGAAGACCATCCTGGCCAACATGGTGAAACTCCATCTCTACTAAAAATACAAAAATTAGCTGGGCGTGGTGGTGCATGCCTGTAATCCCAGCTACTTGGAGGCTGAGGCAGAAGAATCGCTTGAACCTGGAAGATGGAGGTTGCAGTGAGCTGAGATCGTGCTACTGCACTCCAGTCTGGGCAACAGAGAGAGACTCCATCTCAAAAATAATAAGAATAAAATACATCAAAAAAATTAGGCTGAGCACCGTGGCTGTAAGGGCTGTAATCCTAGCACTTTGGGAGGCCAAGGCAGGAGAACTGCTTGAGTACCAGAGTTTGAGGCTTCAATGAGCTATGATTGTGCCATTGCACTCTAACCTGGGTAAAAGAACATATCTCAAAAAAGAAAGAAATGAAAAAAAAGTAGGCCGGGCGCGGTGGCTCAAGCCTGTAATCCCAGCACTTTGGGAGGCCGAGGCGGGTGGATCACGAGGTCAAGAGATCGAGACCATCCTGGTCAACATGGTGAAACCCCGTCTCTACTAAAAATACAAAACATTAGCTGGGCATGGTGGCGCATGCCTGTAATCCCAGCTACTGAGGAGGTTGAGGCAGGAGAATTGCCTGAACCCAGGAGGCGGAGGTTGCGGTGACCCGAGATCGTGCCATTGCACTCCAGCCTGGGCAACAAGAGTGAAACTCAGTCTCAAAAAAAAAAAAAAAAAAAAAAAAAAAAACTAGTAGACAATACTATTACATTTCAGTAGCAGTAATAATAGTCCCTCATAAACAATAAATGCTAAATAAATATTAATTTTCTAATTTTACAGATAAGAGAACTGAAGCAGGGATGGATTAAGTCACTTTTTTAAAGTGACATAGCCAGCCAGTCTTGGTGGCTCATGCCTATAATTCCAACACTTTTGGAGGCTGGAGTGAGTGGACTGCTTGAGCCTAGGAGTTTGAGAGCAGCCTGGGCAACATGGAAAAACCCTGCCTCTGCAAAAAAATTAGCCAGGCATGGCGGTACATGCCTAAATTCTCAGCTACCTGAGAGGCTGAGGTGGGAGGATCACCTGAGGCTGCTGTGGTTGAGGCCGCAGTGAGCCATGATCACACCACTGCAACTGCAGCCTGGGTGACAGAGTAAGATGAGAGAGAGAGCGAGAGAGCGAGAGAGAGAGAGAGACATGCTTAAGAAATGGCTGAGTTGGAATTTAAACTGTTTCAGTAACACCAAGATCTACGTAATTTCCACTCCACTGACTTGGAATAAAATTTCACCACCTAGATAGATGTATAGAAGCTTATTTCTTTTAAGAACAAAGCCTGGATTTTTATAGAAGCAGGTGCACTGATTGAGGACCCTCAATGGACAGCACCATTGCCCTGAGCACCACCATCTCTGGTGTCTTCACTCAAGCCTGGGTATCTACTTTCAGATAAGGAAGCTGAAGCTCCGCACATTTAAATCCTTTCTTGCAGGTTATAGCATGTGTGAGTAGCAGAGCAGGAGTTTAAACACAGTTCTATCAGAGTCCCTTACTTGCTCTACCATAACACACCAAGAAATTCTGTCTTTTGTAAAAGATCTGCATCCAGTATATAAAATGCCACAGGAAGCATCCGTAATATGTGTGGGACTCAAATGTGGACCTGGAGACTGAATAAGTCTCAGCCTATATCCAAAGCAAAATGTAACTTTCTCTATAGCTACAGATCTTGAGACCTTTTGGATCTTAGAGGGAGCTAGAAAGGCATACATGTGACCTCCAGGGCCAGAAGACCATGGAGCCGTATTGCTGCCAAGTCAAATACCAGCA